CAATAGATTTTTGGCATACACATGTGTATATGTGTGTATATATATACACACACACACGAACAACTATGTGGTCAAATTAGTTGATAAAAAAGATTAAATAGGTTATTTATCTCAGTGTTCTTCAGAGTCTTTTATATGTTAATGAACATTTTAATTCTCTTAAGTGATATTTTGCATGCCTTGTTTCCCAAACTTAATTGACCTTGGAACCTATTTCTGATGAAACATGTTGAGAAATTAATGTTCTGTAAGAAAACTTCGGGAAACACTGTTTTGGAGTGTAGGAATGAAGTCTTAGGATATAAGGGGCACAATAAGATGAGTAGCACCTACTTAAAAAGTTTACTAAACAGTGAATGTATAGACCTGCCATCTAATTTCATATCTGTTTGGTTTGTTAAGCTAAGGCTAAGAAACAGTTAACTGTGTAGGGCTTTAACTTAGGGCCTAGCTGCTAACAAGAGTTTGATTCTGGTAATCTACACACACACACACACACACACACATATACACATACACACACATATATAAACCTTTAAGAATGTGTTAAAAAATTAAAAACACAATATGTTATACATTTTCACAGAAATGTAAAACAAGAAATATGTAATATAAAGATATAACCAAACCAAAGAATTCAACCTATCAGAGTGATTATTTCAAAATATGTAAATTAAGTAAACTAATCTTATTTAAAATACAAAGCTTAAGGTTATACTAAAAGATAATATTCAAGTTGCATAGAATAAAAATCATACTTAAACTTGAGTATCTTACATGGACTTGGTGTGTCCATAAACACATGTCAAATTTAATCACTGGACAAAGTCCCTAACCAGATTTCAATATTTTGAATTAACTTTGACGTCAGTGGGAAAGCATAAATATGTTCAAATGTGTTTCCATGCTGTGATTGCAGCACCATGTTATTGGCACTCTGTTTAAGGCAAGACATCTTATTTGTGAGATGGTACTATCTCTTAGGCCTTATTTCCACTTGGAAAAATAGCACTGGGCCATTGAGTGGCGAGTACATCAGTAAACATAGATTTTTTTTTTTTTGGTATCAAGTTCAGATTATTCTGAGATGTTTATGGTATAAATTTTAAAGAAGAAAAGGAAACTCTGGTAAGAATCCAGAAGCAGCCATGAGTGAAGATAATACTAAATGGCCTGGCAAATACAATGTATAAAGAAGGCTTAAAAAAGATGGTTGGCTTATAAAAAAAATTCTTAGGTATGAGTTACTGAAAATTCTATTTGAATTAAAAATAGAACATGTAAAAATGTACTTAAGTTGTACTGAGAAAAAAGGTTAAGCATAAAGATGAACTGTGCTGTTACACACTTGAATCATTCCTGAGATTGATTCTTTTATAGCATTTTGAGGGCAAGAGTCTAAACTCCTAAGCGTGTTGAATTATATTTAGTGCTACTTGGATAGAAGGAAAATGTTATTTATTTTTATCTTTATACAGCCTTCTATGATTTTAATAAATGTTTTTCTAAGTACATATTGCAAGAAGTGTTTAAATAAAAATGACATGCAGCAATGGCAGAGTGAAAGTATATCAAAAGATTTTACCAGGACGGAGGGGAGTGTTTGTGTACATAAGGATAGGGTACCACTCATGGAGGAAGTACATGGAGTTCAGTGCCAGGAACTCAGTATTTTAGGCTATAAACCTTTATTTTTTATGTAGAAGAAATACTTAACTTTGGACAGACTAAAATTAAAATAAGAAGACTGATGCATAAAATCCTACTACCAATACAGTAATTGACAATGGGACATGTACCTGTCACATTTACAAGAATTTTCATTTGGCCTGATCACACATTCTTTTTCAATAATTATGGTTATGTGCAGAGCAAGACTATATTGTTTACCTGGTGAATGTAAAATTATAATACAGTGAATTAGTACACTAGACAGATAAGCCAGTTTATACTGTGGTACAGATTTCCCCTGCTATTCGAAAGTAGAGCATTCTTATGAAAACTTTTGAAGCTGAAATGGCATAAAATGAAGACACATCTTGCTAATAATGCACGAAATAAATAGAGCTAAATCATAGATGCGCACAGATGCAGTTCAAGGCTATGGCAGCTTGATGCTGAGATGCTGAGTGTAATTCTTGGGGAAGGAGCTGAATGGTACCACTTTTGTTGCTCATGGTCTGCTCGCTGCCTCTGTAAGGGCTTGCTGCAGAACAAATGCTGAATGTTTTTGGTTTCACTTTTCACCTTTTCTGTAAAAGGTGGATTTGTTTAGGTTAGCGAAAACTGGTACTAATGTAGGTATTTCATAAAAGTGAAGTAGCATAAAGTGGACTTTAGACAATCTGGTCAAATCTTTAACGCATTAAACTCTAAAATCTCAGTAGCTTAATTTAACCAAGATTCATTTCAGTTTGGAGGTGCACACCTCACTTCTGCTCACAAACAGTTGGCCAGAATTAGTCACGTTGCCTAACTGGAAGAGGGCCAAGAAATGTGGAGATGCATACAAATATTTGGTGAGTTGTAATGACTTTGTCCTGCTTAGATCTGTTAATTATTTAAGGACAGAGGAGAAGATAGGCTGCTGCAATTCCCTATGGTTATGTGGAATTTATCCACGATCAAACAGCTTAAAGAGAAAAGCTAATTCTCCTTCTTCTTAAAGCTCTGCGGGGACATTGTTTACATTTTACTCTGAAATTCTACTTTTTCTGTGATTCAATGTTTGACCATATCACTTTTAACTGGCATAGTCCATTTAATAGGTTTACATTTTAAAACAGTTTACACTAACGTCAGCTACCTCTTTAAGGTAAATTAACCTGTCTTAGATTTTATTCATTATACGTTGATTTTGTTTTTGAATTGGATGGGAGAGTGAGGGTGCAGACAGAATAAACAATTAATTAGAAATCCCCTAAATATTTTAATCAAACTTTCAATTAATTAATTACTATTTTATTATTAAGGAAAAGTACAGGATTTAAAATAGTTATACATATATTGTCTTTAATAATTGAGTCATCTTAATTGAATTGAGTAACTCAATATTTAAAAAATTTAAAATTGTTAAACGGGCAGGCAAATTGATCAACTGAAGTCATTCTTTCATTGTTTTCAAACTACAGCTTATAAATTCACTATTTTCTAAATAACATGATTTCTATTTTGTTCAAGACACACAAACTTTCACAAAATACTGTCATTTTGAAAAGATGTCAACAGATGATTTTGTTGATAAAAAAGAAAATACACACACATGCACACACACATCATTTCATGATACGTAAAAATATATTTTTGAAAAATCTGTAATGTATTTGTAGCTCTAATTTAAAAATTATTTTTGACAGGGCAGAGCACTAGTCTTCACATGTATTGGACCATGCATTTTCAGCCAAAGAGCAGTTATATTTCTTAATATCACTAAGCACATTATAATGCTGGAAAGAAACATTGCTGAAAAATTGTAATTTAAATTACAATGAACTCTGAAAAGTCAGAACTATTTTAAAAACTGCTGAAAATTCAAAATCTAAGTAGGTGACTAAACACCTGGCTTAGGAGAAGAATAGAATAATGGGCTAAATAAAGAAGACACTGAGTGTTAAGAATTTAATTCTTGAAAGAATAGACTCTGAAATTATTCCAGACATTTCTGAAACAGTGAAAATAAATTGGTGTCTGTTAAGGACATGTCAGATCCAGGTCTCCTAGGGGGTGGATTTGCTCCAGTTGGACAAAGTGGTTTGTGTCTATCCTGTGTGTCAGTGTTCATGCTATACTGCCTATTAAATATTTTAAATATCATATCTGATATTATCTATTAGTTTACATTTAGTTGGATGAGGTTAATTTGCGCATTTTTGTTTCTCTTACATGTTTGATTGAACTTTTTCTTGCATGTCTGTTCAGTCGTTATGATTAAAGATCCAAGCAATATCACCATTTCTTTTTTATTGACATATAGTTGACTTATAATATTATATGAGTTTCAGGTGTACAACATAGTGATTCAATATTTTTATAGCTTATACTCCATTTAAACTTACTACCAAATAATAGCTATATATCCCTGTGCTTTACAATACATCCTTGTTGCTTATCTGTTTTAATTATTTATTTATTTACTTGCTTTACCAGAATTTTTATTCATAAATTTTTACTAGTTTCATTTTTAGATTTTTTAAATTAATTATTGTTGATATACAGTATTATATGTTTCAGGGGTACAGCATAGTGATTCACAATTTTTAAAGATGATATTCCATTTATAGTGATTATAAAATATTAGCTGTGTTCCCTGTGTTGTACAATTTTTCCTTGTAGCTTACTTATTTTATGCACAGTGATTTGAACCTCTTAATCCCCTGTATCTATTTTATCCATAATAATTTGTAACTCTTAATCTCATACCCCAATATTACCATTTCTTTAACTTAAACTTTAATTTCTTAAAAATTATATTGATTGCAATCAGGCCTCCTTACTTTTAAATAATTCACAGGCTCATAGACTGTAAGAATCAACTCTCAATAAATGCTTGCAAAATGCAGGACCAGTCCAGCTTCCCAGCCCCCGTTGCCTCTTTCTGTTTTACTCCGATTTTCCTTGTCTCCGGATGACTTTTTGTGATGACTTTCCTAGTACTGATTCTGCTTAATATACCACAATGTGTGTATAAATGAAAGTTTGGAATTTAATCCTTCTTTGATTCAAACCTGTTTTTTTCTTTAAATGTATTCGTAGCATGAAACTTTTACTCAAATATGTTTTTTTTTACAATGTTTTTCTTTAGTATTTACTTCATTTTAACAGGATTTCCCCCCTTGAGGTATGAACCTAGTCTTTTTCCAGCATACATTTATAACTAAAATGTCATTAACTCACTACAAAAAAATCACGAAGCATCTATTAGCTTAAAAGCAGGCCTGTGCAGTGGGATGCAAGAGGAACAGAATACAATCCCTGTCCTTTGGAGATCACAGAAACTTTGTCAAAGGAGGCAAATACTAGGCTGACTATGACCAAGTTTTAGTACTACAGGCACTGGGAGAGAACAGAGGGACGTGGTCTCTGTTAACTCGGACCGGTAATGTCTGAGAGGCCCTCCTGGATGAGATCAAATGTGAATTGAATTTTAGAAGAGGAATAAGAAATTTCCAGATAGAAAAAAGAGCGGAATTAAGAAAATCATACAGAGTACTAGCTCTAATAAGCAACCACCATTTAATAAGTTGGATGAACTGCTCCTCTGTGAGTCATCATGACAGAACCCAAAGCAGGCTTGGGGAGGAGACTGCCTTCTGGTGGAGCCCACGCACCTCTCTTCTTTTAGTTGGGTTGGATGCTTATCGCACGCTGCACTTATTCTTAAAATTGCTCTGTCAGTTGAATTTTTATTATAATTTTATAATTAGTAAAATATTACATAAACAGATGAAGCAGAATAAAATAAAAGGCATTTATATAACACATTATTTGAATGTTTTGGAAAAGATTAAGGTGAGTCTCTGAATATATTGCTATCAATTTAGGTACAGACGGACATTGCTAAAAGATATGGTGAACATTTTTAGAAGTATTTACTATAAAGAATGTTTTAACTCGTGTTGTTTTAAATTAGATTCTTTCTCCACTTCAGATATACCCAAGTTGCTTATGAATGTGGATGTTACAAATCATGCAGTTACAGTGCACAGGCCTACAGTAAAGAAATACACTTAATTCTACATCAGAAGCTCTGTTTTAACTTAGAGCACATTGCTTAAAGTATGAATGCATTCTGTTAATTATTCCTCACCTGTCATATTTTTTAAATAAAGTCACTGCAAATTTTGAATTTTTTAGAAAAGAGGGTTTTTAAAAACCAGAAAAAGTAGCAAAACTATGGCCTAAAAAGCCATTGTTGTAGGAAAAAAATGAGAAAATAATGTTTTTCTGTTCTTCTTAATAATTAATTTATCTTGTCATTAGAACATTAAGCAATGTTTAAATCTAAGTTTGGACTAAACGTCTATTACCATAAGGGAGAAAAAGTAATACCAAGAGAAGCAAGTTTTATTGTTTTTTTCAAAGAGAAACACCAGCAATGTCTATAGTGCTCAGAAAAATTACACCAAATGAAAGAGTAATAAAAAATTGTGTCACTATGTACAAAAGATTATTCCCTATTCATAAGTTGTTGGAAGAGAATTTATTCTTTTACTCCATCAATTTATATGCCAAGCATTGTGCAGGTTACTCAGGCTGTTGAGTCAAGAAGAGTTTCTTTCTTCAGGGAGGGAAGATCTGATAGGAGACATAGCAAACAGAAAATCATAACTCTGTGCCACAAATAAGTTCTACAGTTATAAATGCTGCACCAGTGTATTAGCTGTCTATTGCTGCTTTAACAAATTACCACAAACTTGGTAGCTTAAAGCAACACAAATTTATTATCTTACCATGCTGAAGTTCAGAAATTTGAAATAGTTAGAATAAAGAACCCCTCTACCACTGATGTCAATCAATCCATTAATTAGCTAATATTTTTAAGGGACTTTCTATTTTCAAAACTCAATAAATGACACTATCTCTGTTCTTGTGGCACTTACAGCTGTTTAGCAGATATCAATAAAATGATCACAAACATATAACATAACAGTCACAGAAGTAAGATCTGTTAAGATGAATCACACGGTGTCATGATAGTAGGGGAAAGACCTGTCACTGGGGACCAGGGAAGAGGAAATTAAATTGTGATATCAAGAAATAATAGGAAATAAACACACAGAAAAGGGGAAAGTGCATTTAATACAGAAAGGAACAAGTAGATGGCCCAGTGCTGAAGACTGAGGTTCAGGTAAGCGATTGAAAGACCCATGTGGTAGGACAGAAACTAGTAATATAAGATCATACTGGGTTTTATTAAACTTTTTGGTTGAAAATTTGAAGCATTTTGAGTAAGGACCTTGAGTTGATCAGCCTTGCTTTGTGAACTGACTGTCTTGGCAGAGATGGGCAAGAGTGAATGCAGAGGGACACGTTCACATGATTGCATTGAAATAGCCCACATAGGAGATTACAGAGGCTTGTTCTGGTCTGGTGAGGAGAATGTGGAGATCAAGAAGGGGGGTGGATCCTCGAGGCCTGTAAGAGCAGCGATCACAAGGACTGCTAGTGAAAATGGAAGATGAGAGGATATGGAGTGTGAACAGTGATTTTTAATATCCCATCGTGAGGAAGTGAATGTGTGCTGATACTCTTCAGACTTAAGTACCACGTAAAGTTCTCTTTGACCTGATTCTTCAGGTTTGTTGGGAGAGGATGAGGAGCTACTTTTTGATTTTCTCTGATTTTGAAGCATTTCTGGTTCTTGTGGTGAGAGGGTGGTAGCACTCAAGTAAGAGACAACAGAAGATTGATAATGACTTAGATTAGAGGATACCCATTTTTTTCAGTACCAAGTGGAATTTTACAGGAGATGAGTTGAAAGACGGTGGGGAGCATTTCACATACAATGGTACTTAGGAATCCTGCAGTTACAGAGCAAGAAACAGACAGGTATAAATCTTTTTCTACTTTCTGGTCTAAAAGCATAAATTTGGAAATGTAAAAGGAAGATACATTATTGAGACAACTAAAAATTAAGAAATTTGGGCCTGGAAGTGGAATGCTAAATTTAAATGTGCAGAGTGGAGGATGTTAGTGTAATGTCAAGGTTTAAGTGCTGCCCGTGGATATAAATGAATTGCACCTGTCATTTGACACTGGCTCTAACTTTTCCAGCTGTGTGACTTCAGACACATGATGTAGATTCTTGGCACTTACATTTTCTACCTGTAAGATGAGGATAACAACAATTGCTCTCTCACAGGCTGGCTGTGAGTTTTAAATTAATTAACATGCAAAAAGTGTAGGAAACACCTAGAATATGGTGAATTCCCTATAAATGTTATTTTTATTATATGCAATACAAGGATTTCCTTATACTTCAACATACCCTAAGTTCAAAAAATGTTTACCCCAGCACTTCACAGAATAAAATAATACAAAATTTTATGACATATTTCTTTTGTAAATCTTTCTCTGAAGGATAAGAAAATAGTCATACTGTACTTGTTAACAACTTAATAGCAATTTCTCAATTGGACTAGAATTCTAGTGGCTATAAATAACACAGTGATTGTCTGCCTGTGATAAGCATTTATTCAGTGTATTGCTGATGTACCCATGATGGTCTCATAACTGCAGGTTTCTTCTTATGATTATTATGATTATTGTAAGTTAGGTGCCACTTGACATTTTCAGGACTAAAAACTTCTTTTTAAAGCAAGATCACAATTAAGCTGACATTAAGTAGCCTCTGCTCAGATGAACACAGCTCTCTGTAAATAAAACTAAAAAGAATAAATACCGCTATTAAACTATGTACTATTCTTTTTTTTCTTTGAGCACACTGATTTTAGTTTAAGGAAAATGGGTTGCTAGAAAAATATATCTAGAAATGTAACCATAAGCACAAGGAAGAATACTTCTAGATTTCTAGAATTCTTTGGTCTTCTGGACACACCGCTGAAGTAAAATACAATGCCTTTTATTAATAGGCCCTTACTAAAAGTGAGGTTAATTACTAAACTTTTCTAAGTCAAAAATAAGTGAGCATTTCTTGTTGAATATATGCTCTGGTTGTTGTATCCTTGAGTTCTTGCTATGGTTTCTAGTGGGTAGATTTTAAGCAGGCTGCTCCCTTAAGCATGGCTGTGGGGTCATGGAAGGTGTTTTTCACTTGTGGGTATTTTTTTTCACTTGTGGGTATTTTTAAATGATCTGCTACTTGTGTTATTGCATATAATCATCATAAGATTCTGGTAAGTGAGGCATTAAGCAGAGGAAACAAATGGCTGGAGATATAAGGCATTTGTCTGCTGTCACATGGCTACTGAGTAGTAGACAGCATTCAAATCCGGGTGTCTATCTGGTTTCAAACTTTGATTTAATTTTTTACTACATTTGTCTTTATTTCAAGAAGAATTTGAGCTATTTGTAGTAGAGGTTAGGTGTAACTGAGACAAGAGTAAGTTTATTTCTTTTTAAGAAAGGTCTTCCAGTAGCATTTAGATAGCATCAGATGTTTTTCAGGGAAATAAAATGCTCTGTTGGAAACACATGGCATATGCATCCATAGACTTGGTAGTAAGTGGAGCAGGAATTAGGGAAGTTGCAAACGACACTTTTAGAAGTGCACTTGTGATGGATCAAATTCCTAGAGTCTAGAAGGTGGTTGTCATAACACACTTATCAGAAAAGCATTAAGCAATGACAAGTATATGAACAGAAAATTGGTTGGCTTAACATAAATTATGGGGGAAAATATATTAGAAAACCAAGTACAAGAAACAAATGCTTACAAAGACATGACACACTCAAAATGAAAATAAAATTTATTTAGTATTGCTTCAATAACTTATTTTGGTTCTCATTTCAATACACTACTTTAAAAAACCTGTGAGTTTGAATACACTGGCATTTATACTTATACTAGTTTCCTACCTAAAACCATGCATTTGTAGTTTCCCATAGAGCAAAGAGGATTAAAGCCTCTTACATGCATACCGAAACAAGGATTAAGATAATTACAATAAATCACAAAAAATAAACCACTAAATAAACAAACATTTAGAGAACAAGAAAGATCTTAAGAGTTAAAATATTATGGCAGAAATATACAATTCAATAGACTGGGAAAATAATTTGCATGAAGTGTCTGAAAAGTAGAACAGTAAGAAGAAGAGCTGGAAAGTAAGACACTAGAAAAGTTAAAGCATTGACCCAGGATGTCCAATATCTAATATCAATCTATTAAGATTTCCAGAAGGCAGGACCACAAAAAACAAGAGAAGTCACCATTCAATGAGTAATACAAGAATACTGCTGCTACTCTCTCTGCAAATCCCTGGTACCAAAGAATGTGAATTTTATCAAAATTTTAAGATAAGAATATGCCCATGCTATTTAAAATGTTTCACAATGTAAAAAAAGAAAAGAAAATTTAAATCTTTTAAAATAAAACACACACACATCTGTGTCTAACTATAATTTTAAATAAAATGAGAAAAAAGGAAAACATTGATTTGCAATTGGCACAATTATGAGTTAATTGAGCGAAGTTTGTGTAGAAGAATAGAATGCTTAAAAGCTCCAAGGTGAAAGGAAGCATGTATTAAAGTGTACATTAAAAACGAGTGTTAACTGTAGCAAAGACAGTAAGGATGGATTACTGATGGAGGAATAGGCAGAGAGTAGAAAATGCAAAATCTGGTCTTGTTTAGAAAGTTGTCATTAACTACAATAGGAGGGTATTAGAGAGTTGTGAGCAGTGGAAAGAACTGATTGGATGTGTTCAATTATGAAATACATTCAATTATAATAATTTCACCAATTTTGCAATCTTAAAGATTCCTCTTGGTGTCTAATTATGGGTGACAGAGAAAATGTATACTTGCTCATGATAAGGTATCTGATAATGAACCTTGAGTTTTAAGTTACACATAGAACAGGTGATAATTTGTAATGTAATATTTCATAGACAAATAGAAACTACTTACCTAAAGCGCATTACTTCATTTATTTATCAAAACCTGTGATGTGTTCAGCAAGGCACACATATTAATGATATCCTCTTATTCCTCCAATTCCCCCTACCCAATATGGCTTAGAAAAGGCAACATTTGTTTTCAACTATACTAAAGAGCAGAAGACTATAAAAAGCCTTTGGATTGTTTTATCAAGGTCATTTTTGTAGTTAGTTTTTCAAACTTTTCTTTCAAAGATCTGATTCTTTCTTACTTTTCCAGGCTTATCTTTTGTCCTTTTATCCTTTATACACCATGGTCTCTTGCTACAGCAATACGACCTTTTTCTCTTCTGCA